CCCCCCTCCCCCCCCCCGCCCCCCCTCTTTTATGGAACTTCAGTTACATTCTTTTAGTCATCGTCAAGCAAGTTAGTATAAGTACCTCAGAGTGCTTTCACTTTGTCTTTCATCTGAATTTTGATCTTTCTGCAATTTAAATGTGTTATCTGGATTTGAGGAGCAATCTTCACTGCATTCAAAGAGCGCAAGCATGTGGTTGGAGGATAAGAGAAATGTGAGCGTGTAATGGCAGAGAAGTGAGAATAAGTCGAGACTTTCGAAGAATACTCCATTTTAACCCCGTCTCTTTCGCACTTAGCACCTTCTCACTTGAACCTCTAATAGAAGATTTTAACTCTGAAAACTCTCAATATGAAGCTGCAATGACTCTATCATTAAACTGTGTCCTGAACGGCTGACAAATGATCTTGTGCACCTCATGTAGTCATGTGGGGCTTTTACGTTGGTAATTATTTCAGTACTTTTAGTGGGAAGATATTACAGGCAGAGGCGAATCCAAAATGTAAACTCTATGACCTTTAAGGTTCTTAGTATTGAACTCATTATATCCTTAAAGTTATGGGTTCATATCTACAATTTGTTGCGATTTTAGTAAACTTTTGCATATAAATTTGTGCTCCGCGTCGTAAGTTATGGGTTCAATTGAACCCGTTGATATAGGGCTACATCCACCCATGATTACAGGTGATAGTATTCATGTTTTCCCTGATAAAGGGGACTCCTGTGCTGAGAATTGGTCAAAAATGGAACCCCACATATTCTTTTCGTCACAGTTCTTCCCTTAGCATAACATCTGGCAACCAAATGGATGTTGTTGGTGAAGTTGCTGATAAAGGAGCAAGCTGGTAAACCAACAAAATAGCACCCATAAGGAAATTACCCAATATTACCTTATTAGAACTTTTACTAGTGATAGATTTCAACATTTGGACGTGGGGTCCACTTATATGAATACAAAATCCTTTAGGGGTTGACGAGTTGATGGGTTATACTATAATATTCTTGAATTGTACTATTATTATGATGCATTAAAATTGACTCAATAATTTGCATTCTAGTTGAAATTGATAATATTTGACTTTCATTATCTAACTGGTCGTCACAGGGATCTAGATGTAAGATTTAGACCGGAAGGGATCACTGATAACACCACAAATTTGGAGATTTGTGGGGGTGGGTGAGGTTGTAGGGCCCATGCTAGCCCCTTTTCTGTCTGTGCTATCTCCAAGGCCGTAATAGGGTACCAAATACCAATGCTTTGTTTTGAGAGCATAAAAGTTTAGTGCTTGCTCACAAGACCTAAACTGAAAGTGCGAGTAGCCAACAAGGGAAAAGATGTTCGATAGGAAATACTTTGAGGTGCTCAAAACTGGAAAAAAGAGAAGCTGTTTCATTTGTTGGAGCTATGAGATAATATTTATCAAACTTCGATTATGTCACTCAGGTACCTAAATGCATTAGATTGACTTAATATTTGGTGCTTTAGTGAGATGTAAATTTAAAGTGCTCTCTCTTTTATGTTAGACAATGTGAAATTTATATATGTGACCAGGAGATCACAGGTTCGAGCCGTGAAAACAGCCTCTTGCAGAAATGCAGGATAAGGTTGACCCTTGTGGTCCGGCTCTTCCTCGGACCCCGCATAGCAGGAGCTTAGTGCACCGGACTGTCCCTTTGATGACTATAAGGTGTTGAAGACATGTCTGGAGAATGTGTGGCCGTATGATTTAGAGAAGAGTATTTGCAGTTACTCACATGTTCTTTTTGCTAACCTCTCCAAGCACTTAATTGAGAACATTCATGATGTGATGCTGGCTATGGGGGCTTGGAGAAGTAGTCGGACACGAGTAGTATGTGGACCATAACAACAAACTGTATTAGGGAAGCTGCTAGAGAGGTGCTAGGGGTCACGGAAGGTTACTCAGGTGAACACAGAGGGGACTGATGATTGAATTGAGAGGTCCAAGGAAAAGTGGAGGCCAAGATTGCGGCGTATTTGAAGCTTGTGGAGAGCATATACAAGGATGAGAAGAGCACGAATAGGGAGCGGTATAAGAAGTCTAAGAAGAGGTGAATTTAGCGGTCATGGCGGTCAAAACTACAACTTTTGGATGTTTGTATGCAGAACTTGGGGTCAAAGGCGGGGACAAGAAGCTGTACAATATAGCCAAATTAAGAGAGATGAAGGCACGTGATCCGGACCAAGTGAAGTGCATCAAAGACGAGGAAGGTAAGATATTGGTGGAGGAGGCACATATTAGACGAAAATGGCAGACCTACTTCCACAAACTCTTGAACAAAGAGGGGGACAAAAACATTGTGTTGGGTATTTTGGAGCACTTTGAGAGTCGTCGAAATTATGGGTATTGCAGGCGCATGAAGATTGAGGAAGTTGAGGGGGCTATGCGTGAGATGAGCAGGGGAAGAGCGATCGGCCCAGATGATATCCGGGTGAAGTTTTAGAATAACCGGGCATAACAGGCTTCGAGTGGCTTACCAGGTTGTTTACTGTTATTTTTAGAACAAAGAAGATGCCAACGGGATAGAGGTAGAGTACGATGGTTCCGTTATAGAAGAACACGGGTGACATCCAAAATTGCAACAACCATAGAGGTATCAAGCTGCAAAGTCACACTATGAAAGTGTTGTACAGGGTGGCGGAAGTGAGGCTGAGGAGAAGCGTGTCTATTTTCGAGAATTAGTTTAGATTCATGCGGGGATGTTTGACTACGGAAGCCATTCACCTCGTCAGGATTGGTGGAACAATTTAGGGATATGAAGAGGGACTTGCATATGATGTTCATTAGCCTAGAGAAAGCTTATGACAATATCTCAAGGGAGGTCCTTTGGAGATGTTTGAAGGCTAGCGGTGTTCCTGTTGCATACACTAGGGTGATTAAGGACATGTGTGATGGAACTAAGACCTGGATGAGGGTTGTGGAGGAGACTCGGAACACTTTCAGTTGTGATGGGGTTGTACCAGGGATAGCTCTTAGCCCATTTTTATTCGCGTCGACGCTGGACGTACTAACACGTCATATTCAAGGGGAGGTGTCATGGTGCATGTTATTTGCAAATAACATAGTACTGATTGACAAGATACGAGGCGGTGTTAACGTGAGGCTGAAGGTTTGGAGACAGACCCTATGCAAGTTCAATGACATGAGTCATGAAGCGGACATGGAAGTGAAGCTTGACATTCAAGTCCTACCCAAGAAAGGAAGTTTCAAATACCTTGGCTCAATAATCCAAAGTAATGGGGAGATTGACGAGGATGTCACACATCATATTGGAGTATGGTGCGTAAAATGGAGGTTGTCTGGTGTTTTGGGTCATAAGAATGTGCCGCCTGGACTTAGAGATAAGTTTTATAGTGTGGTTAGATCGATTGGCTAGTTAAGAACTCCTATGTCTAGAAGATGAAAGTAGCAAAAATGAGAATGCTGAGATGGATGTGCGGCACACCAGGAGAGATAAGATTAGGAATAAAGTTATTCAAGACAAGGTTAGAGTGGCCCCCTATGAAGGCAAGATGCGACAAGTGAGGTTAAGATGATACATGCATGTGAAGAGGAGAGCCGCATATGATGCCGTGAGGAGTTGTGAGAGGTTGGCCTTGGTGGGCCCGAGGAGAGGTAAATGTAGGACTAAAAAGTATTGGGGTGAAGTGATTAGAAGGACATGGAGCAGCTTTAGCTTACCGAAGACATGACCCTTGGTAGGAGGGTGTGGAGATCGAGGATTAGGGTAGAGGGTTAGTGGGTATTTAAGTGTATTTTATTGCCATACCAGTTGCACTAGTATTTAGTCTTGTATTTCCCTAAGTTGCTCGGATGCGGGTGTCCGACACAGGTGCGGATCTAGAAGTCGGATCCTTCGAGATGTAAATTCTAAGATTCAGGGATAAGGATCCTTTATGGGTGCGAGGATCCGGCTAAAAATAACTCAAAAAAATGAAAATACAAAAATATCTCTAAATTATGAGAAATTTTGTGGAATATTTACGTATAGCTGGTAAAGTGTGGATTTCTTTTTTATTCTCAAGTTGTAGAGAAGTAAATGATTGATTTCCTAGATAAGGTATGCTATTTTCTTTAAATTTACCCTAGTTTTGGTTCTGATTTCGAGAATTAAATTGTATCTCGTCTCAACACAGGTGCGGCATCTAAACTGCTGTGTCGGAGCAACTTAGGTATTTCCTAGTTCGTAGAGTTATACTACTACTTATTATTTCTTTTGCTTAAGTTATCTTATCATATCGCTGTTGTTATTATGTTTCTTTTTATTTTTCATTAAGTCTTGGGTCTTCAGAAACAGCCTCTCAACCTCCATGAAGTAGGGATAAGGTCTGCGTACACACTACTGTCCCCAGACCTCACTTGTGGGATTTCACTGTGTATGTTGTTGTTATGATGTGATGCTGAATATTTTAAGCCTTAGTTTGGTTGATTTGGCATGAAACTAGAGATGAATCACCCATACTTCATTTTCATGTGTGGTAATGAATTACGAAACTTTCTGAGTGGTGCAACTAGTGACTTTCTGTTTATAATTTGCTGACATCATGTAGAACTTTAAAGTAAGTATTTTAGAAGGCTTGCTAACATTTGCTGATTAGTAGGGGCTTAGATTTCTATTCATCTGGAATGTGAAGGTGAAGAATGGGTCAAACTGACGTGTTGAAGTACTAGAGTTGAAAGCCATTCAATCTATTTACAGTGTACTATGTAACATCTTAATCGTGAACATTGTTGACCACCATCCCAAAGAAGAAGAAATGATGGAAGCAAAGGAAAAAAGTAAAAATATTCATTTCCTTCTCTTCCTACATTTTGTAACTCGGAATTGGAATTTCTGTGAAGGTTCCCTCTTCCCATAGTGCTGGAAGACAAGCGTGTGTCGTTCCCTGCACTCTCTTTCACTCCCTTGCAAATATATTGTATCTTCAAAGCTTCATCAGACAAGAAACGTCAAAGTTGTTGCTTTTCTTATAACTTCTAGATAAAAGTTGTCCAACTTCTTGTAGTATAAATATGGTACTATCAAGATTGAAGATCATAAATCAAAGAGAAGATTATAAATATAAACACAAAGTAGAGAACCTTCTGCTATATATTTGATGGAGATTGTGGTGTTAAGTTGTTTCAGGTGCTGTAGGAACAAAAACACTTTAGTACATATCACACTTTTGGTTTCATATCTGGACATGAGAAAAGCTTGAAATTCTTGATGTTGATCCTGTGACACTAGGACCGGAAAAAAATCCTGATATCAGGGAGCTGTACTACTATAGGATTCTTTTGGTCTAAATTGTTGTCCACAGTTCATCAAATTAGTTCATGTACTGATGGCCTGAAGCTGTAACAGATGGGCAAATAAAGAGTTCCATATGGGACGGATAAAACAACAATAGCAACTATGCCTCAATCCTTAACTAGTTAGGGTGGCAGCTATATGAATGAGGAGAATAATTACAGCTTTAGATTCAGATCAAGCTTATTGAGATTTGAGGCATGGTCTTTTGATTGTTGCTGGTTTAGTTGAAAACTTCCGGGCCACTTCAGATCAAATGATCCCTTCATTTGATTGGTATGCGGTGTCATCTGAAATCCTGCACCAGCCTCGCTGAACGTGGCCACAGTTGCACTTGCATCTCTGCCGGATTTATGCACAAGTGAGTGGGGAATCATACCAAGTGATCTGAACATGGGGTTATTGATTGGCAGAGTCATCATTGTCATCATCCTCTGGGACTGATACTGCCTTACCGCGCCTCTTTCTCTCTTGTGAGCATTCTGGTGGCCTCCCAACGCCTGTGAACTGTAGAATTTCCGCTTGCAAAAGTTACATGAAAAAACCTTGGCAGAAGTAGGTAAATGTGACTCAGATTCTTTAGATGTTGAAGGCAAGTTCCTTCCTAAGCTCAAATTCAACCATTCTCCTTGATCAAGCACTGAAGTTCCCTGATTGCTATCTACAGCACTGATCATTCTGATCGCTATTGTAATTGAGCAGAGGTTGCCTTTTCTTCTCCCACAATTTTCACTGAAGAGTCAGCTTGAAATTTTGTGGATGTACAAAGATGCTTTATGTAGATACTACTCGAAACGACTCTTAAAGGACCTCCAGACAGAGAGGCAAGGAATAAAAATGAGATCACAGGAGGTGAAGGTGAGATCAGAAAACTGTGATTTATCATATCTATATTTTCACTGTCCCTCCAGCTGATGCTTGGTATTCTAGGGGACAATGCTTAGATCATGTTTCACTGGAGTCATTGTCAAGCCTAGATTCCCCATTGATTTCTCTCTTGTCTGTTCAACTAGTTCTATCTCTAATTAGGTAACCCCACTTTGATGACTATTATTGAATTCCTTTGATATATAAAACTTTAACTATCTTCAACTAAAGTTACTAAAATAAACCAGATGCAGATTTTTCTTTTAAAAAAGAAATAAACAAGGTGGACAATCCAACTATGATTCCATTTTTAGTCTTTATCATAATCCTTTAGTTTGGTTTGTCTTCCGAGGCTGCTGCATCTAATATTCGCTGGCATATAGGTATATTTTTTTATGCTTGTTTTCCGTTGCAGCATACAACAACAACAACCCAGTAAAATCCCACCAATGGGGTCTAGGGAGGGTAGAATGTACGCAGACCTTTCCGTTGCAGCATATGATTAAGAGTTAGAAATCATACAAGCGAGTTTCAGGAGTTGACACATGGCAAAAGGTCTGGTCATTTAGAGGACCTGATTACCTGAAGCTTTTAGTTTACTTTTGTTATACTATCAAGAACCAGGTGGTTTCTAGGGGCAGAGATTTTTACCCTATATCCAAGTATCATGCCGGGATGCTGAATTTGTTTTCATAATTTCCCCTGGTTATTCCTTGTGTTGGGTTAAAAACTTTCATATCAAGTAGGTGACAAGTATTATAAAGATGGAACCCAACTACAAAAACTTCTTTCCTGTATGAGAGAACGAGTGAATGAGAAGCTTTTGAACAGAATGTAGATGTTGGCGTGAGTGGTGGCAGAGTTGTACTACATTGAATGTGATTGATACAAAGTTGTGGAGTGGTAGGGTCCAAAAATTTGGCAATGATGGTAATAAAAATAGGAAAAAGATGAGAGAGAATCTTTGCCAACTTTGTCTAGTATTTTCTTCTGAAGGTGGAGTATCTATGTGGGTGTCCTCATGTTGGGGTTCCTATCCTGGCATGTTGTGGACATTATATATGAACAGCAGAAAGCCTAGTTCGCCATGAGATAAAGATTACTTGTTCTCTCTCTCTCTGTCAACCTAAGCCTTGACAGCACAGAAACCTGGTACTTATGTTGGTGTTAGGTAATGTATACCTAGTGAAATAGTCGAGTTGCATCCAAACCGGTCTGAATACATCCGGTATTTATTTATCTGTCTATTCTAGCACCGTTATTAAGCTGCAATAATATTCAAAGAAAAGATTAACCTGGTAGAGAAGTTTAAATTATTAAGCTGCTTGGGGATGTGATTCAAAGAAAATATAAACCGAGTCTAAAAGTTTCATGATATTAACAGCAGGGCAAAGCTTCTGCAGCTGAAGCTTAAACGACCATGTCTTGATTCATTAATCTATTTCCCTTACCCTGCTATAAAGCTTAATTCTTATCACTTGCTCTATAAATAACATAAGTTATTTAAGGCTATAATCATTTCTATATTGTCCTGCTTCAAGGTTATCTATGTCTAGGTTTTCCAATGAAGAGGTCTAGACTTTTTAGCTGATTAGTCAGTAGTGTCTATTTTTATCCCAAGTTGCAGGATAGCCTGATGCACGAAGCATCTTGTATTCACGTAGGGTCTGGGAAACAACGTACCCCAAGGAGATGTGATGTTGATATTCTACCCTGATACAGACATCAATGATTGATTTCATGACTCAAACTCGTGACCTATATGTTCAATACCAAAAATGAACATGTGATATCGCAAGTGTGTCTAGAAAAATGGTTGAAACGTTCTTATATGGTACTCCTTTCGGTCCACAATAAGTGACCAATTTGCCTTTTTATTTTGGTCCAAAATAAGTGTCCATTTACATAATCAATAAAAAATTCAATTTGTTTCTCCAAAATTACCCTTATATACGTATCCCTAAAAAGCCTTTTACTCCTCACATTAATTATGCTGCAACATTTAATTAAGGTTAGTTTAGTCATACTAACTATTTTTGTCTAGAATTTAGTATTTCCTTAATGGGTGTGCCTAGGGGTGTTTAAAATTGAACCGAAATCGAAAATCGAACCGAAACCGAAATCGAAGCTTAATGGCTTATTGGTATCGGGTTAACGGTTTAACGTACGGGGAACGGATTGAAATTTTTTCTATAACGGCTTATCGGTTTGGGGGCGGATTATTTAGTTTTCTTAACGGATAATTCGTTAACCCGTTATATATATATATATATATATATATATATATATATATATATTAAATATCAAAAACCCTTCCACTTCAGTCTTCCACTCTTCCAGTATAATTATCTCAACGTCTGACTCTCAACCATCAAACTGCAGCCTCTGCCCGCGCTCTCTCATCTACTTACATGATGGTCACTGCTACTACTGATCTAAAGCTGAACGAAAGGGATAACCCGACAACCTTGGAGGAGATGTTGCTCCAATTGGACATGGGGGAGAAAATGGCAAGAAGAGTAAAAAGCTGAAACGAATATGGGCAGCATAGAATGTCTTGTGTCAACAGTTCAGACATTCTTCGAACTGCAAGGAACGCGCTAAACCAGTATCCCCGCTTTTCTCTGGATGGCAAAGATGCCATGTACCGGTCTTCTTTCCATGATGTGTCTCCTTTGCTAACCACAAAGTGTTGGTGCAAGAAAATCAGTATAGATTGAATTAGGCCGATAAATCGCCCGATAAGAGCTAAACCGATACCAATCCGCCCGATATCTTATCGGGTGGCTAGCAGATTAATACATTTAAAAGCGGATAACCGATAAGCCAAACCGTTAAGAGTAAATAACTGCCCAATCTGCCGATAAGCAGCCCGTATGCCCAAGATAAATTGGTCACTTATTATGGACCGGAGGGAGTGAAAATCATTATATCTGGCCTTCTTTATTTTTATTTTCTGTGGGTGTTCTGCAGGGTGTGTGTGGGGGAGGGGGCAAGGGTGGAGGTAGAAACCCAGATATAGATTCAACCTTGAATCTAGTAGTTTTTATTCAAATAATATATTTGTATTAAAAACTTTATTAAATATGTACACATTAACTTTTTAGAATCCAATTCTAACATTTGAAATCATCATTTTAAAATTAAAAATCCGTAAAGTTGAAATCCTTCCGCCTTTAGTGGGGGAGAGGTAATCTAGTCTTTCCTTTGGGCTAAGGGTCATTGGCCTAAGTTGAGTTCCTCTTGAAACTTTTTCGCATACATCATTGGCTAGTAAGTGGACCATATTTAGCTTGGTTTCTATTTCAATCTCCGCACACCGATTTGGTGCTTGTAATGTGGTCCAAACTCTAAAGTACCACTTAGAGTTTATTCCTTGGCTTAGATACTAAAAAGAATGCAATGGGATTTGCCGACTTAAGTTGACATATCATCCAGATAAGCATAACAGAAGAAGATAAGAATGATAATATATATGCCACTTGTGTTGTCAATCAGATCCCTATCCTATTTCTTTGTGAAATAGGTTTTGGAGGTAGTTCTCTTTGAAAGACTTTGGTCTGTGGATATGCTGGGAGGAAGAATCTCAAAAGAAAAAATAAACTATTCCTATGTTACTTTTTGATCCGCAATTATCGTAATGGAACATATTTGCAGCTATCTGATTATCTGCAGGGTGAAGAAAAAAACATCCGTTTTCTTTTTTTTGGATATAAGTTTATTTGAAAAAAATCTTACTTTGCTGTAGGTGTTTATACTAGCCCAATGATGCATGGCACGTGTTGTTATGTGCACATTTATCACTAGTTAACTATACATTTTCACCTCAACTTTAGCAATTGATCAATGATAAATTGATATGATTTTTTAGTAAACACCAAGCGGGGTAATTTTTTGCTGAATCGATGGCTTTACATCGGAGGACGAAAAGTATTATGTGATAAATGCCACTGATAGAAAAAGGACGAATTAGGTGGTTAATGGTATAGAGTTTCTTTTCTAGTTAGAGCTTAGAGGGAAGAGGAGACAATGAAAATTAAAGTAAAAGATGAGCGTATAGATCAGAGGCGGATCCAGGATTTGATAATTGCGGGTGGCATGATTTTTAATGCAAACTTAACATTAATGAAGGAGATTGAATTAGGGTGCACATTTAGCTGGTTCGATCTGTTTTGAATTAATTCCGCTCAGTTGATTTGATCCAATTTTGAATTTATTTCGATTTACAAGATTTTTGTGATCAACAAATTAAATAAATTTTGTCTAATTTGATATAATTCTCTCAATTCAAATTCTATTGAATTATGTGATCGATTAAAACATAAAAAAATAGCAAATACACCCATTTAATCTCCATATAACTAGACTAAAGAATTGATGCCAATCATTACAAAAAAATATTTGGCAACCAAGGAATAATATTAGATGGGTAAAAAGAGAAAATAATTAAAATCACAGCCAAACAAAATTTTGAGATTTTGAAAAAAAGGTATAATTTAATATAAGTACTACAGAATGGATTTGTACAACGAGAGAAAATAGAAAGTTGAAAGAAATAAAAAGAAGTTCAGAAAAGGAGCATAACGAAAACAAAGAAAAGGGACATGAAACGACACGGACAAAGGAAAAGCTGTGGAATCTGTTGTGATTCTATCTTGCATCCTGGGGCTGGGGGTTTACCAGTTTAACCATGGCACGTACAGTTAATTGTGACTTCGGTGCCAAGCTTTACTTATATAGACTTTTTTTAATGTAAAATACCAATACAAACACACAATTTTACCCGAGCGATCGGGTGGCGTGGCATTCCAAGTCAACTACGTAGATCCGCCCCTGGTATAGATAGGTTGAACTTACTTGTAAAGCGTTTCGGCTATATCCATTGCATATGAGAGCGACAAGTGCAATGTCAACAATGCCAAAAAACAGTGAAAAACCAGATTGCCTGCACGTAACTAGCATATTAATGTAACTGAACCATGCGTTAATTGTTCAAAAGTCAAAATATACAAATGACCGTGAGGTTGGCATATAGTTGTGACACGTCAATTTATTACTTTAGTGCATTGCCACTCGTAAATTTCATGTCAGAAAATAAAAGATGATTACGCATAATCTATGTGATTAGAATTAGTGAGTTGTTCACCCTAAAAATTGGATAACAATTAAACTTATAATGTGGTTTTAAGGATACGTGATTTTACTTAATATTAATTGATAAATATAAAGATTGACGATGGGAATTGACAATAAAATAAAGCAAACCGG